ATATTATATTTTATTTATATTTTATCTCTATTATATTTTATTTATATTGTATTTTATTTATATTGTATTTGTATTTTTATATATATTTATATATATAAATATATATAAATACATATTTTATTTATATATATATATATATAATATAAATATTATATATATATATATTTATATATAATCGACCAGAAATTATCAGAGGGCTGCAAATCCCCCAAGAAAAACTCCTTTTTTCAATCCAGCCCTGCAAATAAATCAAAACCCACCCTGATTTTTGATTTGGGAGTGCAGCAGTCCCCAAAGGAACTCTGAAAATCTCCCAGCCATCGTTGGCTTGTCGAAAACAATGAAATTATCACAAGTTTCTCTGAGAGAAGGAAAAAAAGAGAATTTTTTTTGGCAGCTCACAGACCCTGAGGTGATTTTTTTTTAGCAATAATTAGTGGTGAAAAGTCAACACAAGGGGTTTTTTTTATTGAGGTGAATATCTCTGTTTAAATAGGATTTTTAAAGCTGATTCCACTTCTTAATTTATTTTTTTTTTACTGTTTTTTAATGGATGTTATCTTGACTGCTTTTCTCTCTCTTCTTCCTCATGGTCACAACCTCCAAAATTTGGTTAAAAACTCTAAAAATCTCTAATAAATCTTCTTTGATCTTTTGTGGCTCTCCTGCCTTCCCCCTGGTGTGAAACTTCCTATAAAAAATATAGGAATATATAAATATATATATAATATTTATATATTATATATATTTATATATGTTATATATTTATATGTGTGTATTTATATATATTTATATATAAATAAATTTGTATATTTAATATACAAATTTTCAACTTTAATATTTATATTATAAATATAAAAATATTTATATATTTATATATTTTGTATATTTTATTATAATATTTGTATATATAAATAAATATAAATAATAAATAAATATATATATAAAAAATATATATAAATAAAATAATCCAAATTCTTTTCCTGCCTACTGAAAAACTCACAATATTGGAATTTAAAAGGGAACAGAAAAGTTCAAAAGCTCATTCCAGCCACCAGCTCCACATTCCAGATGTGAGGATTATTCCAGTGGCAGAGTCTGGAGACTCAGTCCAAAACAAGAAAAAAGAAAGAAAATTATAAAAACCTCCAGGATTAAATTGTTCCCAAAAAAACCAAGGTTTTGAGTTTATAGGCAGATGCATTTTGCAAATTTTTACTGAAAAAAAAGGTTTTTTAAGTAGTTGATTCATTAATTTTTGATTATTTTGAAATGAGGAAAAATAAATTTTAAAAAAGGGAAATGAGTGTTTTCTTTTGCTGGAGGTTTTGAGGTTTGTTTTGCAGCATAAATTCCTTTTATTAATAAAAGGATAAATATATATAAATAAAATATTTATAACATTTATATTTAATATTATATAGTATTTATAATTATATATATAATATATATTTATAATAATTATATTTATAATTATAAATTAAGGATATTTATATATTTATAAAAGGATAAATAAATATAAAAACCTCAGTTTGCTTGAATTTTGGTTTTTGCTGCTTTTATTCCACAATTTTCCCTCCTGGGAAGTTGATTTGGGAGCTGAGCTCTGGGACAGGTGAGAGAAAATCCTGTCAGCTCCCATCAGCATTTCCTGAGGAAATCTGGGACAGGTGGGAAGGGCAGGCAAGAGCAGACTTGATAAAAATCCCTGGAATTCTGAGGGAGAATCTGAGCCCTGAAATTCAGGAATGAGAGGAGAAAACCTGGAATCAGGGAGCCAAGTGTTTGTTGCTTTGTTTAAATGAAATCGAGGATTAAATCAGAATTAAATCAAGAACGGAATGGAATTAAATCAGAATTAAATCAAGAATGCAATGGAATTAAAACAGAATTAAATTACGGTTTAAGCACCACCAGACTGAGGTTTGACCTTGGAAAACTCGGGAAAATTGCTGGATTATTCTCTGGATATGGAATTTTGGAATTATGGAATCATCCCTGGAAGTGCCCAAGGCTGGAGAGGGTTTGGAAAAATCTGGGATAGGGGAATGTCCCTGCCCATGGAATTTTTGAGGTCCCTTCCCACCCAATAAAAAATGGATTAAAGCTGATTAATTTCAAATTATGCTGGGAAATAACAGAAACTTAGCTCTGTGGGCTCTGCAGGAAACCTGAAGCAGCCTAAACCAAGTGTTTCACACAGAAAATTATCATTTCAAAAGAACAAATTCATGAATTGTATAGATAAAATATTATTTTGTAATTTTATTTATTCTGTGTATTTTTACCACGTGGAAATACCAATTTGATCAGCTAAATGTTTCCCCAATCGTTTATATATATATATATATATATATAAAATATATAGTTACATATGTTAAATTATTATATATCAAATTACAGTATATTAAATTATATATTCATAATAAAAATATTAATAATATTTCTATATAATGTAAAATATTTTTCTTATAATTATAAATATATATTAATAATTATATTTTATTTAACATATTTAAAATAGATTTCTTATAATTATAAAATATAATAATATGATAGAATATATAAATATTATATATTTTAAATTATATATAATTTTATATAATAAAAATATTATTATTTATTATATATTATATAATATCTATTTTTATTATATATAGTATATATAATATATAAAATAAAATATATAAATTATCTAATAGTATATAATAAATATACAAATTAGAAATATATTAAATAATATAAATTATATATTAAATTATTATATATTAAAATGTTTTCCCACTTTTATATATATATTTATATATTTTTTTTAAATTTAGCTTTTTTTAGCTTTTTTTTTTTAATTGAGCAGATTTTATCTGTCTCAATGTTCTGAGCAGTTTTATTTGAAGATTTGGATCTTGATTCCTCTGGTTCAAAAGAGCTGTCAGTGCAAAGCAGATTATTTTTTTTTAAATCCAGGCATTTTTTTTCTGACATGAAATGAGGAAGAATCAACTAATTTTAGTATTTATTACTAAAAGTATTAATTATTAATCATTAATCATTAATTAAATTATTAACATAATGTAACATAACATAATGTAATGTAATATAATATAATGTAATATATATAACTTATTATATATATAATGTCATATAATGTAATATAATATATATAATTTATTTTTAATATCATATCATATATCATATCATATATCATATAATATCACATACATATAATATAATATACATATAATATACATTTTATCTATCATCTAATATATAATATAATGTAACATAATGTAATGTAATATAACATAATGTAACATAATGTAACATAATATGACAGAATAGAATATAATAGAATAGAAACCTTTATTAATTATTAATAAAATATTAATTTAATATCAAAAATCGAATTTCCTCCCTGTCTGCAAACCCATATTTTCTGGAATCACGCTAGGAGAGCACTGGGAGCAGAAATACTTGGCTGTGACCAGAGCTGCTAAAATCAAAATCCTACGAAACACCTAAAACTGCTGCCAAAAATAGCAATAAAGTTCCTCAAGCACTTAAAACTTGGACATCTGTTTATTTTGTAATATATTTGTATATAGATATAAATATATATATATATATATTATATATGATACATATATATATAATATTAATATATTATAATAATATATACAATTTATATATCTAACAATATATATAATATATATTATACATTATAATTATAAATATAATTATACATATATGATAATATAATATATAATATATAGTTATGAAATATTATATATATTTAATATATTATCTATTATATATTATATATAATATATTATCTATTATATATTATATTTAATATATAATATATAATATATTATATAATATATATCTGTAAATATATATCTGTAAATTTAATTATTTATTTATAAAATAAAATAATATAAAATATAAATAAATAAATAAAAGAATATAAAATAAAATAATAAATATAAATCTGTTGCCTCAGTAAATATTAAAAGATGGATCTCCTCATTGCACATTTTAATTTAAACAGAAATAGATTGCTGAGTTTTTCTGAGTCTGGCAGGAAATTTGAGGCGGTGTCACACAAGAATCCAACTTATTTTATTTATGGCAACCCTGCAGGCTTATCTGCATAAATTTGGGTCCTTAAATGTAAATTATTCTTTGCCTCTGGCTGTGTGCAGGTGTAATTAAAGTCGTTTGGATGTCTCATTGCCAGGCAATGTTTGGTGCTTTGCTCTGACTGATTTCAGTGGTTATTTGCGTGGTTTTTATCAATTTAATTTTTCAGAATCACAGATTTAGGGCATCATTAAGGCGGGAAAAGATCTCTAAAACTTCTGAGCTCAGCATTTCATTAAAGGCTTCTCTCGTTTCGCTGCTTCTCGTGGGTGTAAATCTGGTTTAAGCCTGGAATTGAAGTGGTGTCCACACAAATTTGCCAGAATTTTAGTTTGGTTTTTAGTTATTTTAAAGCAAGTTCCTCACTTTTGGGAATTATCCCACAAGGGGTTGGATTAATCTCACCTAGAATAGAATAGAATAGAATAGAATAGAATAGAATAGAATAGAATAGAATAGAGTAGAATAGAGTAGAGTAGAATAGAGTAGAATAGAATAGAAGAAAATATAGAAGAAAATATAGAAGAAAATATAGAAGAAAATAGAATTAAATAATTAAATAGAATAAAATAAAATAAAATAAAATAAAACAGAATAAAATAAAATAATAAAATAATAAAATAAAATAAAATTAAAATAAAATAGTATAAAAAAATAAAACAGAATAAAATAATAGAATAGAATAGAATAAAATTAAATAAAATAGAATAAAATGAAATAAAATAAAACAAAATCAAAGAAAATAAAGTAAAATAATAAAATTAAATTAAATGGAATAAAATGAAATAAAATGAATATAAAATAAAATAAAATGAAAGAAAATAAAATCATTTTAAAAAATAAATCTCAATTTCTCTCTGAGCAAGTTGCCCTCTCCATCTTCACGTTCTGTGCATGACAAGAACTTTAATCATTGCAGGCACTTGGATCCCGAATCTGGGAGCTCCCACCAGCAGCTCCCGAAACCAATCACAGCTCTGTCCTCGGATGCCAGGAACATCCTCCAGGAGCAGAACTCGTCCCTGGCTGCCCCAGAGAGCAGGTGAGCTCACCTTGGGCTGGGATGGAGGTTAATTATAAACATCCTGATTAAACTGATCAAATTCATTCACCACCAAAAATGAACGGTTTCATTTTGCCGTCGTTCACACCCACGGGAAAGGGATTTCCCCATGATCTTTCCTTTGAAGGGAAGAAGATGCTGCAAGAAACTCGGTCCAGGTGTAGAAAAGCAGAATTTGAGTGAGAAATAACGGTTTTAAAAACTAATTTATCACTTGTCACACTCAGAGTTCATCTCTCTTTACACCATTCCTGCCCAGTGGCATTCGGGAGACGTCACAAAATCTTGAAAATTCCTCAGGAACTGAAGCAAGGAGCTTGGAATGTAAATTCCAGCAGGTGCTGAGCTCTGTGGTGCCTTCACCTCCCTCCCTGAGCCTCGGGTCGCGACAATTCTCTCTGCCCTGGGTGATGAACACCCTCATTTATTTATAAATAAATATAACCTGTCCACAGCCGGACAGGTGACACCTCCTGTGCCATTTGAGGGGGTGGTGACATCTCCAGTGCCATTTGAAGCTCGTAGAGAGCAGAAGATTTGAAGAGGAACCATCTTCACCATTTTTGGGCCTGCAGCGTTTCCTTGGCATCGCCCCTCACAAGGAATCTGTGGTTTCCTCTCCTGTTCCCATTCCAGGAGGAGATCTGAGCTCTGGCTGTGACCAGGGATGGTTTTTTTCCGGGATAATCCCTTTTTTTCCCCTCTGTTATCACCTGATGCCAACATGGGACATCCAGCATGGCCTAGGGGAGCAGAGCAGGCCGGATCCCATTCCCACACACGGAATTAGGGCTGGGCCTTTGGAACGACCCCAAAGCTCATCCGAAAGCTGGAATTCAGAGTCAGCCACTGTCCGTGCCCTCTGGCTGTTGGCAAACTGGAATTTCATGGAATTCTGGAATGGTTTGGGTTGGAAAGGCCTGAAAGATCATCCATGGGCAGGGACAGCTCCCACGGTCCCAGGGTGCTCCAAGCCCCATCCAGGGCACTTCCAGGGATGGATCCAGGAACAGCCTCAGCTTCTCTGGGAATTCCATCCCAGCCCCTCCCCACCCTCACAGGGAAGATCTGGATCAGGGGCTCAATCCCAGGCCTGATTCCTTGTTCTCCTCCCATCCAAACCGAGGCACCTTTGCTGCTCTACCTAAACACCAGCCCACGGATTTTCACCAAGGTGCTCTCACACCTTGTAAAAATCACCATTAAATCATTAATAATTAATAATTAATATTAATAAATAAACTAATTAATCACATTAAATAATAATCACAGTAAATAATGATGACAGTAAATATTAATAATCACAGTAAATAATGAAGACAGTAAATAATGATAATCACATTAAATAACAATCTCATTAAATAAAATTTCACATTAAATCACATGAGAGAAAAACTCAGCATCTTTAGAGATCTCACTCATTCCCTTCACCTCGAAGCAGAATTCTGAGCTAACCTCGCTACAAAAACCCCTCAGAATTCCCTTTATATCCAAGCCACACTCCCGGATGCAATGTACAAATGTTAATTGCAGGCTTTTAATTAACGCCCTGGAAAAAGGTCGGATCCGGAGGCTCCTGCGGATCCGTTTATCCCAAGAATTTGTGCCGAGGGCGCTCCTGAGAGGAGCTGGGTGTGGAATGAAGGAATCTGCATCATCTGTCCTCAGCGAGAGGCAAGACCTGGAAGTGTGAAGTTGGAAAAGTCTCGCCCTTGGCAGATGGGAAAAAAATCTGGATTTCCACCCCAGCACGTTTGAGTGTTGTGACTCGAGCAGTGTTTGCATTTAACACTCTCAAAAACAGAGCGGAGGAACAACTGTGAGGGGAGGGAAAAAGCAAACTGCTCATATGAGTCATTTCCCAGGCCTTGCAACAAAATTGTGGTGGAAATAGGGAAAATTCAGGAAAAAATTGATTGATTAAAGGGATTGATTAAAATCCTTTTGTATAGAAGCAGCTGGAATGTTGTCGAGAAATATCTCCCATTTCTGAAATATTCTGGTCCAGCCTGTGGTGTTTTGGTTTTTTTTAAATATTGAAGTGGTTTAATATTTTTTTTCTTCTTCTTTCTCTCCAATTTTATGCTTCCAACTCTTGGGATGGAAGAAAGAGTAAACTAAAAAAAGCCACCAAGGGGTAAGAACATATTGAGCTCCAGATATACCCAATGAAGGAAATGACATTTTCCAACATCAGGGGTTAATCCAATCATGGAATCATTAAGGCTGGAAAAGACCTCTGAGATTATCAAATCCAACCCAAATTTTTGGGTTTTGGATTGTTTTTTGGTGGGTTTTTTTTCATTATTTGTCCAATCTGACAATTTTTATTTAAGAAAATAAAAACCTTCAGCTGTGTGGGAACAACGTCATCATTCCTCAGGTCATTAACACTCCTTGGAATCAAGTCCTGCCATTGTCCTGTTGCTTCTGCTCTACAATTAAAGTAAATCTAATTCAATTTATTCAAGTAAAAATTAAAGGTTTTGGTTGGACATCTTCCCTCTGACCTGCAGTTTTGAGCAGGACAATTTCTAATTTCACTGCTAAGACCACAGCTCTGGTCTTCAACCCGTGATAATTTATTTTTCCTGATTCCACAGCAGTTTCCAGGGATTTTTGGGTTCTCCCACGGATGGAAGTGTGGATTTTTTTGGCTTGAGCTTTCATTTATTTTCACTTCCAGGTTTGGACTTGCAGAGCACAGTCAGTTAGGGCAAAATATTCTACAAATGTCCTTTAAAGTAAATGATAAATTCTTTGAGGCCCTGTCTGCTGTATTTCAGTGCTCACTTTTCCCAGTAAATTTTATTTTATTTTATTTTATTTTATTTTATTTTATTTTATTTTATTTTATTTTATTTTATTTTATTTTATTTTATTTTATTTTATTTTATTTTATTTTATTTTATTTTATTTTATTCCTATTTTTCATTTATTTTTCCATATAGCTAAAAGGGAAATTTTACTAAAGGGAAAACTAAAATTTGGCTGCTTCACCTCTAATAATTCTCTCTGCTGAGCTTTTCAGGACAGGACTAAATTCACATTATCCAAACTCATTTATAGACAAAAACCAGGAAAAAGAGAGAGGTTTGAATTCCTTCCGAACACCTTGGACATCTCCATGGCACAAACCCCCTAAGCTCCCGTTTTCCCCCCATTTTTTTGACATTCTGGAGTAATTTTAGAAGTATTGTATGATTTTTACAAGTCATGGAGTATTTTTATAAGAAGGCTGAATTAAATCACACATTTCTGGTGGCTCTTGGACCAGGAAAGCCTTCAGCCCCTGGAAATGATTTCCCACAATTTTCCTGATCTGCTGCCCTTGGAGAAGGGACGGCCTGAGAGAAAGGGAATATCTTGAACATTGTAGGATGCTGGGTTTTGACACAGCCAAGTCTGGTAGGATAAAATGTTCCTTTTCCAGGATAAAATATTCCTTTCATGAGATAAAATATTCCTTTTCCAGGAATAAAAAATACTTCTTTTCCAGGATAAAATATTCCTTCCCCTTGAAGGCAGCAACAAAATTCTCTAAGACTTCCCCAGTACCTCTGGTAACAAAAACTTTCCTGTTTCTCATGGAATTTCCATATTTTTATCCTGATCCCTTCTTCCTGATGTGTGGATTCATTAAGCCACCACTGAAATATTTTTCTCCCCTGTAATCACAGCTAAAATGCCAGCAGGAGAGGATGGAATTCTTTTGGATTTCTGCACCGTGGATGAGGTCAGGGTGGATAATCTTTGAACTCCCTCCCAGATCCATAAATCCCTAAATCCTAAATTTCTGAGCTGGCCTAGACCAGAGACGTTCTGGGATATCTGGAGCACTGCCAGAGAAATCCTTTATCAATCCAGGCCTTTTCCATGCTTTCCTTGGAATAAACTGATGACGTCTGGATGGGAATGGGAAGTTGTTATCGGAGCTCCAGCGGGGTCATTATCGCTCGCAGGGTCTCGGAGCTCCCAGATTTTGGCTCTGGATTTTGTGCAGATAAGGAATTCGGGTTTTTCTGCAGGAGATAAAACAACTCAGAGGTGCCTCCTCAATGTTTACATCATCCCTGGGGTGTTCCAGAAACCTTTTCAAGGAAATTCCTCTTTTATTTACTCGGAATTCTTTCCTGTGGTGCTGCTCCACAGGTTTGGGAACAGGGAACTCCACTCCTGATCTCCCACCTGCTGCTGAGCCTCATTAAATCAGGAAATGAAAACTGGGAGCTGTGGGTGTCGTCTTTGCAAACTCCTGAAGTTCTGAGAGGATTTGGAACAGGTTTTGTGGGATAGGGAAGTGCTGGGATTTTTTTCTCGCTCTCTCAGCTGAGCTGTGTGACTGCAACATCAATAACTCCATCAGACACAAAGAATTTCCTTTTTTTGCTCCTGTTTTTAAACCAGGAATCTTTTTACCCCCCCTCAGCTTCAGGGAATTTGGGCATATCAGGGGACACGTTTTTGTCCCACCTGATGCAGCTCTCACCGAAAGTCTGTGGACCAAGTTTCCCATTCCTCGGAGGCAGCTCCCAGGACAAGGCAGAGCCGAGCAGCAGGAGCCAGGAGGAGCTGGAAGAGGAGTGGACACATCGAGAGGTTGGAGTGATATTCATGGAATTACAGAACCAGGATGGTTTGGGTTGGGAAGGACCTTAAAGGTCATCCAGTTCCACCCCCAGCCACGGGCAGGGACAGCTCCCACTATTCCAGGTTGCTCCAAGCCCTATCCAGTGCTGGACATTCCCAACATTCCAAATTAGTATTAAAAAAAAAAACCAGTGACAATTTAGGCATTAAATGGATGATGTGGAGATATTCCCCCAAAACCACTAGAAATCTCTAGTAAATTTTCACTTTTCACTGGAATAAACCGTCTTCCCTTCTCTATAATTCCTGCAGAGACTGAAGTGACTGGTGAGAACCTCCTGAGGAAATCCAGCAAGGCCAATTTGGGTTCTTCTCCTGTGCCTGGTGAGAACTTCCTTTGGGTTCTTCTCCTGTGCCTGGTGAGAACTTCCTGAGGAAATCCACAAATGTCAGTTTGGGTTCTTCTCCTGTGCCTGGTGAGAACTTCCTGAGGAAATCCACAAATGTCAATTTGGGTTCTTCTCCTGTGCCTGGTGAGAACTTCCTGATGAAATCCAGCAAGGCCAATTTGGGTTCTTCTTCTGTGCCTCAGCTCCAATCCCAGCCAGGCTCCCACTCCAAACCTGTCCTGCCTCCAATCCCACCTGGACAGAAAAGCACCGACCCCTGATGGTCACTTCCATCCCAATTTTTGTCACGCTGACACTTTCTAACCCCGCTTTTCATCTCTTTCTCTTCAACAAAGTAAAATCTATCAAATATTATTGCTGAATCCATTTCTGATTAACTCTCAAAAAAAAAAGAGAAAGAAGAAAAAAAAGAGTTATTTATTTATAACTTTATTAAAAAGTAATTTCTGTATTTCCCAAAGCTAGAAATTATTTCCCTGGGCACTCTCAGCTGGGAAATGGTGGAGAGTTTTTTTTTTCCTACCACGGAATTGTATCTTCCATTAATTTTATAGATTTAATTGAGGTGTGGAAGCACCAGGGCTTCTGATAATATTATCTGTATTGTAGGGCTGGTGAATTATTTAGAAGAGGGATTTTGTGAAATGTTCAGAGGGAAACTGGGAGCAAAAACCAGTTCGGAGTTGGATTCTTTTTTAAAATAAAATGTGGTTGAGTCACAATGATTTGATTTGCAAGTGGATTTAAGCAACCTAGAGAGGAGTCATCAGCAAAAATGAGAATTATTGAGAGCCAGCTGAAGGGGTAACAAGTGAGTGAATATTTGGGTTTTCACTAGACAATAAAACTCATGAATTAACATTTGTCCTGATTAATTTTCGTTGCCTTCTACGTCCAGAGCCCTTTTGCCTCAGCAGGTTCCTCCTCAGAGCCCTTTCCCTGCAGAGAAAATGGGATTTTGTCCCAGTTTGGAGCCATGGAAGAGCCCAAAGTGTTCCTTGAGGCCAAGGGTTTTGTTGATTAACTTGGATGAATTGCACCAAGCAGCTCAGGGTGAGTAATTCAGATTCAGGGAGCCTCAAATTCTGCAGCTTTTTAGGGAGCTCTTTCCATGGAGCAGCTGGCTGGATCCTCAAGCTGGAGATCAGCAGCTCTTCCAAGGCTTTAGATTTCCATGGTGGATTTTGGCAGAACAAGAAGTGATTTTGTAGCCCTGGGGCACAGTGAGTTCAGAGCCAAAACTTCAAAATTTGGGGTTTTTTTTTTAGGCTAAGGCAGTTCAGTGAGTGCTGGGCTGGATTGAAAAACCACCCAAAATCCTGCAGCAAACCACGGAATCGTGGAATGGTTGGGTGGGAAGGGACCATGAATCTCATTCTGTGTCCAGGGACACCTCCCACCATCCCAGGCCCTGTCCAACCTGGCCTTGGACATTCCAGGGATCCAGGGTCTGCTCTGGGAATTCCAGCCCAGCCAGGAATTCCTTCCCCAGATCCCATCCATCCCTGCCCTCTGGCAGTGGGAAGCCATTCCCTGTGTCTTGTCCCTCCAGGCCTTGTCCCCAGTCCCTCTCCAGCTCTCCTGGAGCCCCTTTAGGCCCTGGAATGTTCTGGAAGTTCTCCCTGCAGCCTTCTCCAGGCTGGGAATTCCCAGCTCTCCAGAGCAGAGGAGCTCCAGCCCTGGAGCAGCTCCATGGATTTCTCTGGATTTATTCCAGCAGCTCCCAGCTGTTGGATCCTGCTGTTGGATCCAAACGTGGATGCAGCATTCCAGCCATGTCAGTCTCTCTTTCCTTGTGCTTCCATCCCTGCCCAGCTCTCCCAGCCAAGACCATTCCATGCTCATCCCCAGCTCCCCACTCTCGGAATAGCTGCTCCCTCCTGCATAAAACAAACCAAGTTTTCCCAGAATTTCCTCACCTTGGAGTACAGAATCCTGCAAAATCCTTGTGCCTCTCGAGCGACCTCAGCGATCCAATCTTCTCCTATTTACGGGAAATTTTAAAGTTTCCAATCCAGGAATTGTATCTTTATTTGGATTCTGCAGAGCTGAGGGTGCAGGTGCAGGATAAATATTCCTTTTATTTCCCAGCTGTAAAAAGAAATTGTTTGTTTTCCGTGAGCAGGGGCTGGCTTGCATTTGTTTCAAATAATTTTGGAAAATCATCTCCTATTTCGCAATCACTTCTTGAGCCCTGAGCTTCCAAAACTTCCACAGGTGGGCCAGGGAATGCAGACCTTGCATGGAAATAGGGAAAAGGGATTTCTTAAAAGGGAGAAGCCGAATTTCCTCAATTCAACAAATCACCAATTTCTCACCTTTCCTCCCTCAGCCTTTCTGCCGTTCCCTCTCTTGTGCTCCCTTCCCAGAGTATGGCTCGAATTCCCAACTCCAACGTCAAAATTCCTTCCCAAAACATCTGGATTGCGCTGCCCCTTTCCTGCATCTTCAAGTGTGGAACATCTGGCTGAGGTTGAAGGGAGAATTGAGGTTGGATCGTATTTTTAATAATTACATTTCATTTCCCAGTTTTTTTCAGGGAATTCTGGTTTTATCGGCAGGGAAGAATGTTCGGATTACAGCAGAGTCACACCTTGAGTTGGTCAAGGTCAGACTGAGCCTGGAGTTTTACAGAGGATTTAAAGTTTTTTTGAAGAACCCCAGATGTTTTGAGGATTTGAATCCTTTTGGAGCGCCTCAGATTCTGATGGAGATTTGAGTCTTTTTGGAGAACCTCAAATGCCAAAGGTTTGAGGATTTGAGTCTTTGGAGAACCTCAAATTCTGATTTGAGGATTTGAATCTTTTCAAAGAACCTCAAATTCTGATGGGTTTGAGCATTTGAATCTTTTTGGAGAACCTCAGATTCTGATGTTTTGAGGATTCAAGGTTTTTTGGAGAACCTCAAATTCTGATTTGAGCCTTTTTTAGGAGAACCTCAAACTCAGATTTGAGACTTTGAGACTTTTTGAAAAACCTCGAATTCTGATTCGAGGATTTGAGTTTTTTGGGAGAACATCAAATTTTGATGGTTTGAGGATTTGAGCCTGTTGGAGAACCTCAAATTTTGATAGTTTAAGGACTTCGATCCTTTTGGAGAACCTCAGATTCTCATGGTTGGAGAATTTGAGTCTTGGGAAAACCTCAAATTCTGATTTGAAATTTTGGGTCTTTTTGGAGAACCTCGGATTCTGGTTTAGATTTGAGTCTTGCCTGGGACCTCAAATGTGGACAGTGGTAAGGATTTGAGTCTTGCTGGGAAACCTCAAGAGGGTCTGAGTTGTGCCTGGGGAACCTCAAATCCTGAATTTCCACCACCCCAACTGCTCCTGGCTCCCATTGGTGCTGGATTTAGGGAAACTTGGATCTGATGGTGGGGTCTTCTCCTGAACCCCAGCCAGCCAGGCCGAGTCTTTCCTGTTTTCTCTGATGTTAAAGAAAAATGGTGAATTTTTATTTAGTATGGATATTCATGGAAAATTTCTTGACGGAAAAGGTGGAACAGGGCAGTGGAGTCGGCATCCCTGAGGAATTTCAGAGCCACGTGGATGTGGCACTTGAGGACATTTGTTAGTGGTGGCCTTGGCACTGCTGGGAATGGTTGGATCATCTTAGAGGGATTTTCCAACCTCAACAATTCCACGATCCCATTCATTTTCCAGCCACTGGCAAAGCACAGAATGAGGAACAAACCCAAGGGAGCCTTTGAAGAGGATACAGATTTATTTCTCTTTAAAAAAAAAACCAACTCAAACCCCAACCTAAACCCAACCAGCCACCGCAAAGGCAGTCAGGCTCCTTCCCTTTTCCAGCCTCTGCTAAAAAAACAGGTGCTCTGATCTCTACACAAACATTAAAACTCAACTAATCAGCGCCCCCGGCCTGGAGGGGGAGCCTGGATTTAATTAATTTTGGCTAACAAGGCCCTTCTGCCTGGACCTTTCCTCCTCTGTCCTCCAGCAGGAAGGGAATTGCTGCCACTCCTGTGACTCCATAAATATTTCAAACACATTGATCATGCCGGGAAGTTAAAAAAATCCCCCCAATGGGAACAAACAACCCACGGCTGATGTGTTGGGAGTGAAAAGCACATGGTTAAAAAAAACGGGAATGCCCGAATTCCCCAAACATTCCCGCATCCCACGGGAATTGGGAACAACATGCAAGTTCCTGGAGTGGAAGAGTGACCCAGAGTATGCACAGAATGTTACAGCTGGGAGCAGCTCCGTGTCAGCTCTGCTCAGTGCCTGGATCCAACAATCCCTGGATCCAAAAATCCCTGGATCCAACAATCCCTGGATCCAACAATCCCTGGATCCAACAATCCCTGGATAAAACAATCCCTGGATCCAACAATCCCTGGATCCAACAATCCCTGGATAACACAATCCCTGGATCCAACAATCCCTGGATAAAACAATCCCTGATAAAACACCCGTGGACGTTCAGGTACAGCTCTGGTGTTTCCCCGCCTGTGCCAGGCTGACACAAAAGCCATGAGGAAGCTGATCCCAAGGGATGGGAGGAGAACTGGGAGAGTAAACCCAGCCCTCTCAGGATCCACTGGGCAGACTGGAAGCTCCAGGCTGTATCCCACATCCTCCCAGCACAGGGATAAGGGATTCCCACAGGAATGGGGCTCAGCCATCAGCTCCAGACACTGGGACAATTAAAGGACGGCACCAAACTGGCTCAGGGTCCAGCTGATCCGAGCCAGCAGCACGAAAAGTTGGGCTCCCAGCAAAGCTCTGAGTCAGCTTTTCCTTAAAAAGGGTTATTCCAATGGGAAAAAAAAAAACAAACCAACATGAAAAGGAAAAACCAAACAGGAGGAAAAACTGGAAGCAAGAGGGGTGGCATAAAAAATACCGACTGGCAAAAAATAACCGGATTGTTTCTCCATGATCCGTTCCCCAAGTTCCCAGCGGAGGCTCCCCATTTTCCCAGGAGCTTGGCACAGCCAACACCTGCTATAAAAACACCCCCTGGGGGAGGAGGGGGGGGCTCCCTGCTGCTCTGCTCTGGAAAACAACAAAAAGGTCCCTGCAGAAAATCCCTGGATTCACTCCTCCTTGGGCCTCCTCCTCCTCCGGCAGCGGGCCAGGAAGGGCCCGAGGCTGTTCCACACCTCGGTGTACATCAGGGTGCCCACGAAGACGAAGGCAGTGCCCAGCCAGTGCCACCCCGTGAAGGGGTTCTGGAAGTAGAGGATGGAGAAGATGAGGCTGACGAACTTGCGGAGCGTCACCACCAGGGTGACGGTGAGGGACGTGCACTCCGTGGTCAGGATGAAGACGCCGCGGATGCAGACGTACCTGGGAGCGGGAGGTAAGGGATAGCAGGGATGGAGATCGGGGCTTCCCTTTGGGAATGGGAAGGAGCAGGGAGATGGGCAGCCTGGTGTGGATGGGGGAAATTCCCCCCTGGGATCAGCTGGGGGTTGGATGCTACAAACTCAGGGACACCCCAAATCTCCCCGCTGTGTTGGCAAAGGGTGACAATCCCTGCCACAGAGCCAAGGGAAGCTCCAGACTCCTCCATTTCCATGGAGCAGAAGTCCCAGAATCCCAGAACAAACCAGGTTGGAAAAGACCTTTGAGATCATTGAGTCCAGCCTAAAACACAAAAGTTCTCTTTCCCCATATTTTTGGAGTTACACCAACAGCAGCTCCTGAGGGTGGGAAAGACTCCAAGGATTTACCTTCTCTGATAGCAGGGATAGACATTGGGAATTCCCTTTGGGAATGGGAACGAGCAGGGAGATTGGCAGCTTGGTGTGGATGGGGGAAACTCCCCCCTGGGATCAGCTGGGTTGGAAAAGGACACCACAAACCCAGGGAAACCCCAAATCTCAGATGTCCCCACTGAGCAGCTGGGCTGAGCTGAACAATGAAAGCTCCAAACTCCTCCATTTCCATGGAGCAGAATTCCCAGAATCCCACAATGAACCAGGCTGGAAAAGACCTTTGAGTCTTTTGAGATCATCGAGTCCAGCCTAAAACACGAAAGTTCCCTCTCCCTGTATTTTTGGAGTTACACCAACAGCAGCTCCCGAGGAAAGGGAAGATTACAAGGATTAAGGAACCCAGACTTCCAGGATTTAGGAATCCTGCTCTGCCACCCCACTGGGATAAAGGATAAAGGATACTGGGTGATGACGTTCATGAGGAGGTAGAACCACATGATTGGCAGGGTCAGGCCTATCACCGGCACCTGGAACAGCTCTGCAGGGAAAAAGGATGGGATGAGGTCACTGCTGGAGGAGTCTCTGCCCTTCCAGGAGGGATGCAGGACTCCCTGCAGCCTTACACAGCCCTTCTGCTTGGAGTTCCACAGGGAAGAATGGAAAATAAGGAAAAATTAGGAGAAATATTAGGAGCAAAGCTCTGTCTTGTTCTCCTGCGTCAGAGCTCTCCTGCTGCAGGGATCCACTCTGTTCCCACAGCCAATCCTGGGAAGCACCAGCAAAAAACCAAACCCAGCAGGTCCATGTTTACATCCCTTATTGAGGATTCGGTCCTGGTACTCCCATTTTGGAGTTACCACGTTCCTTTTCCCAGGGATCACTCTTGGATGTGGCTGGCATATGGGAATTAGAAAGGAATTTGGGCTTTAATCATGGAATCATAGAAAGGTTCCTTAAATTCCACCCCCAGCCATGGGCAGGGACACCTTCCATTATCCCAGGGTGCCCCAAGCCCCAGTGTCCAACCTTGGACACTTCCAGGGATCCAGTGGCAGCCACAGCTTCTCTGGAAATTCCATCCCAGCCCCTCCCCACCCTCCCAGCCAGGAATTCCTTCCTGCAAATTCCTCAAAATTCAAAGGGCTTGGAACACCCCAAGACTCCAGCATGCACAGCTGCAGGAAGAAAACTTCCCATGGGATTTTCCAGAGGATAGGAAGGCCCAGGAGCACAGCACTCACCAGACTGGTTGAAGAGCACAGCGTGCTGGTAAATGTTGGGAGCCAGGAGCAGGAATCCAGGGAGTGGCAACGCGTGCTGGGGGGAGAAACAAATCCATGGTGGGATCAGGGGATGGGAATCCACCCCAATTCCCTGCTGGGAAGCAGCTGGATCAGAGCAGGCTCCTCAGGGCAGTGTGGGATCCTTTTTGTGCCCAGTCCAGGAGTGGAAGGGAGCAGAGAAAGCCCCAGGGACTCACATTGTAGAACAGGGCCTCCTTGGAGTGCTTCCCAAATTTCTGGTAGAGCGTCTCCTGGAAAATTCCCATCCTGGCAGACATCAGCAGGGCGAAGGTAAGGGCAGCAATACCTGGAAGGGGAGCACAGCCCTGCAGCTTCAACTCACCAAATTTGGCTTTCAGGGGGAAAAAAACCCAACAACCAAACTGCCCAGACTCAATAAAAAAACTAATAACGATTCCGGGCTTTGATTACAGGCTGAGATCCAAGAGATCTCCCACAAATACCAGGGATGCAGTTTGTGCCACTACTGGTAATAATCCCAGATTTCCCAATGAGCCACCAACAGACCCAGAGTGAGGGTAGAAAACCAGATTTTAGAGCCTCCTCTGTGAAATCTTGTGCTGAAGGAAGACCTGGAGCAGCCCCAGCCCCTCCCCGCTCCAGGCAGGGCCACTTTTGCCAAGAGAATTCCAAGAATCCTGCCAGTATCCCAGAAATGTGGCCCCCACGTACCCAGCATCCACCAGAGGAAAGCCTGGGGTCCATCCTCTTGGTTTAAGCTGGAATCAGATGCCTGAAGGGAAATCGAGAGTCACCAGAAGCCACCAGGTCCCTGCTGCTGCCCCAGACCCCTCTCCTGCCAGAGCAGCCACAGGCTTCCCACTCTGCTCCAGGGAATGCAGAGATTCCAGGAAATAAGTGGCAGAGTCTGATCAAATCAGGATTTTTCCTGGAAGGAACAGCCTGGTTTGATGAGACTGAACTCTTTTAGCCACAAAAATAATCAGGGTCACTTTTCAGGCTCCCAAAACCAGCCCATTCCCAGATTCCTGTGTTCCCAGCCCATTCCCAGATTCCCATGTTCCCAGCTCCTTCCCAGATTCCTGTGTTCCTATTCCCAGGTTCCAGGCCCCCATCCCATTCCCAAGTTCCTGTGTCCCCATTCCCAGGTTCCCGTGCCCCCATCCCATTCCCAGGTTCAGGTCCTCCTGGTCCCCATTCCCAGGTTCCTGTGTCCCCATCCCAGAGTGTGTAGGAAGGAACAGGATCTCTGGCCAAGCCCCAGTCAGCAGCTAAAACCAGATCCAAAACTGGGCTTGTGGCCAAGAAAACTTGAGGAGATCAGGCTGAGGCCACAACTCCAGCCTGACCTGCCCCAGCAAATCCCATTATTCACCTTTCCCACAACTGCCAGCTCCACCCCAAAATTCCAGCCCTGCTGGGAGTCTTTCTGGATTACCACAGAGCCAAGGCTGCGGAGCCCAGCCCTTGCTCAGCCATTCTGAGGATAAAAAGCTCTGAAATAATGGGGAATTTGGAGCTTTGACAGCTCCAAATTTCCCATTTCCAAACTCTCCCAGCTGGATTAAGTGCAGACAATTTTCACCAGGCCACCACTTTCTGCCATTTTTTTTGTCATCAGCTGATGGGGTCAGGCCGTGGGTGCTGACCCAGGAAAAGCTCTGAGTGTGTTCCACATGGATTTGCTTCCCTCCCTCCAGCTCTCCAAGCACAGGCACATTATTTTAGGGTCAGGCTGGAAGAATCCAGCCTGAAAGGCAACAATTTCTTGTGGGATGGAGAGAGGGAGGATTTCAGATGGCTGAGTTTTGTTTAGGATTCACCTGCTCCTGCCTGCAACACAAGGCAAGAAAATGCAGCTTCTTTCTGTTACCTCCGAGACCAAAAAAGAGGTTTATTCCCAGTAAAAAGCAGTGTGAACAGGTGAAGAGACACCTGGAATTAAATGAAATCCCACACATTTTGTGCATCCAATACACAGGAAAATAAAACCAGGAGGAAAAGCTTTTGGGGAGCAGACGTAGAGGTAGGAGGCACCTGGTGTCTCCATGAATAATCAGGCAAAGGGAATTCCTGAGATTCCCAGTCCTTACCACTTGCTTTGCAGACATCAAAGTGCAGGTGAAGATGCCCAGGGACACCAGGGCTATGGAGGTGTATTTTGACACGCTGTACCTGCACAGGGGACAAGGGACACGTCACTGACCCCGCCTGGCTCGTGTCCCTCCCCTGCTTCCCAGCATCCCTGCCCCAAAGCTGGGAAAACGGGCACATTCCCACTTCCTAACCCTGAGGAGGACCAGCTGACTCCAGCTCAGCACCTAAAGAAGCTTTTCCCACAACATTTATCCTGGTTTATCCCAACACTTCTCCCGGTTTATCCCAGAGCTCCAGCCTTGACTCTGTGCAGGCACAGCTCAGTGTTATCAGTGTGTTATCAGTGTGTTATCAGCGTGTTATCAGCGTGTTCTCAGCGTGTTATCAGCACTGCTGCAGCCACAATCCCCGGCAGGAGGAAGGCACTGAGCTCCATCCCAGCCACAGCCAGCACAGCATCCCCCAGGAGCACTTCCAGAAGAGCCAGGAGTGAACACAGAGGCTGCAGCCCTGTAAAATCTCTTCCCGGCCCATAATCTCTCCCAGGAAAGGAGGGAGAGGTGGAAATGCAGAAGGAGCTATTCCAGCCTCTATTCCACGCTCCCTGTCTCCCTTCCCCATCATTAAAATAAGAATATTTGACAGGAAAAGCGATGGCACGAAACACCCACCAAGATTATGTCTGTGGCAGAGCATTCCCTAAAGATAAGAACTTTGTGATTTACCTTTTCTTCAGGATGATGATCCCTAGAGCCATGCTTGCTATGAGAGAACCCTGGGGGGGAAAAAAATAGAAGGAAAAACTAAAAGAGGAGGTCAGCAGGACGGAATTCCCCAAATTTGGATGCCCATCCCAAAGGGACACTGTAAACTCCGTGTGGCAGATGCCAAAACACCAATAGAAACGCTGAGTTTGAGGCAGGAAAACTGACAGGGAGATGAAACTTCCTTAAGGTTGGATATTGGGAGAATTCCTGCTGTGAAAGGGTTTTCCAGCCCTGGCAGAGCTACCCAGGGACTCCCCATCCTTGGAAGGATTTCCAGTCCCTGTGGAGGTGGCACCTGGGGACATGGGGCAATGGTGGCCTTGGCAGTGCTGGGAATGGTTGGACTCCATGAGTTTAAAGTTCTTTTCCTGCCTCAATGATTTCATGATTCTGAGTCCCTCCATCCAGGAAAAGGGGAGAAGGTGAGCTGGGTGCCTCGGGAACGAGGATGCTGGGTTGGATCTCCTGGCCAGGGAACCTCCCCTTTATTTTTGCAGTGTGTGACCAGAACGTGGCCCAATCCCACTCCCAAGCCCAGCCCCAGGGGTTGAGGGCAGGACCAGAACCACCCCTCACAGCTCATGTGAGACAGGTCTCCTTCAGTGTGGTTTTATCCTTCTGAACCTCTCCTGATTCCAGATATTCCACCCCCAGGATGTGCTGTGGGAGAACAGCCACCATCAGGAGATTTTGTGATTCCCACCAGCTGGGGCTCCATTTCCCTGGGTTTTAAAATGACTTTTAGCCTGGAACTCATCCACACTTAAGTGAAGATGCAATTTAATGGGTTTTTTTTTCCCAAAGAAAAGACCTGTGCAGGTGGAATTAGGCCAAATCCCAAATCCATGCTCTCTGACCTGCCACATTCACCACTTGGTGGCAGGGAAAGCTGGATCCCTTTGGCCATCCATAGTCTGGGATTGGTTTTGTCACTGTCACTTCCCCCTCACCTTTGGAGTTCCAAAGCCTGTCTGAGCCCATTTCCCTGTCTGTCCATTAAGCTGGAATTTAATGATCAACACCATAAAGTGAAACCTTTGGAGCTGAGCTTCGGAGTGAGGCTGCTCTCCCACCAGCTGGAATTCAGGATTTCCACAGGGGTTTGGTGCTCTCAGGTGGCAAGACACATGTAGAAGGGATAATTCCAGCAGAAATGATGGAATGGGAGCCCCAGGAGGAGGAGGAGGAGGACAGGGCTCACCGAGCGGAAGATCATGTGCAGCGGCATGGCGATGTTCAGGTTCAGGGCGTAGTTATTGACCACGCTGACGGTGAAGAACATGGCCACCATGATGAAATAGTTCCTGAAACATGGAAAAATACCTGAGAGGTGTGCAGGAACCTCCCTGAGACGCTGAGAGACCCCTCAGGAATGGTTGTGGGATGCACGGAGAGGTCTGGAGCGGAGCAGGGTGGAGCTCCCGGCTCTGTCACCAAATGCGAAGTGAATTTGGGTGATTTTCCAAGAAAGCTGTCCCCTCCCACACCCACCACACCAAATCCCAGAGATTAAGAGCTCTTTAAACTCTTCCCAGTGCAAAACTCTGCCCTGTTCCTGTGACAGGGAAGGATCTGATGGCAATTTCCTGTTAAAAATTCCCAATAAAATGAGTGTGTCTTTTATCCGGCCTGACAGCTTCCCGACGTGGCTCTGCAGATGCCGCAGGATGGATGGGATTTCCACGGGATAAGTGGAAAAGCCAGTCCATGAAAAGGTTTTTAGAGATAACAGAGATCCAGGCAATTCCTGCTTGGGAAAATATTGGGATTGTACCTGATGGGGATGGCCGGGCGCTTCCTCCCAAAGTTGGCCTCGAAGATAAAACCTTCCACCGCGATGAACAGGAACTGGGAGAAGGTCACAATGTTCCCACATCCTGGGAACTGCCTGCAGGCACGGAGAGACCGGCATCAGAGCCATTCCACGGAGAACAAACACTGGGATCCAAGAAAAGGAGGCGGCAGCTCCTGATCCCAGAGCGAGGATCACCCTGGAGAGGCTTTACTCAGGCTTTATTCACCTGAGCTTGTGCAAACACCTGCAGGGAGCCCTTCCTCAAACATTTCCCAAGAGGAACCGGACATTCAAGTCAGGAAGTGAAAGAAAAAACTGCTGGATCTCCCTCTTTCCCACAGGAAGTGGCTTTAGGAGGACTCTGTTCATTCTTAACAGCTGCTGGGTTTGTTAGAGGTCAGGTAATCTGAGGGAATCTGCATTTCCACGAGGAAAAGGCAGCTGGAAATTCGATATTCCCCTTTCCCGCGGCAGGAGGGAAGTGCCAAGGTCAGGTCTCTGCTGGCAGTGTCCCTGGTTCAGATTTGCTCTTCTAAAAAAGCTTCAGCTCCCCTGGGATTTCTGGATGCAAAAAAAAATACCCCAAAACCTTTGGTTGTGGGTTCTAGAAGGGACTAAAACTCCTCAGAGGAGCCCAAAAAAGTCCTGGCAGTAAATCCCAGGTGACATCCATGGATCTCATGAATGTGACACCAACTCCACAAGGCTTCAAAATCCACAAAATTTTGTCTTGAGCGCAAAGGGGACCCTCTCAGTCCCTTTTTGTTCCCGCTGGAGAGACCCAGGAATGCAGAAGTGCCACCACCTCCCAGCAAACCAGGGTCTGTGTTTATCCCGTGGGACCTGGAATTCCTCAGCAGGGAATTCAAACAAACCCTCCCTGCACCCTGATCCTCCCAAAGGAGCTCCCAGGGAGGAAGGGAAGGATTTCCTGGGAATCAGAAGCTCAGAGGAGGCTGTGACAGGGCAGATAATGAGAAAGCTCGTGGGAGACAGGGGGGATTTAGGGAATCTTTCCCTTTTTTTCTGCTGCAAGACAGAAACTGAGGCCAAAGATTCCTGGGAGAGTCCTGCTCCTCATGGAACACGCTGTCCCTGGAGGCAGTTTTGCAGGATTCAAGCTGGGAAATGCCCTGGAAAACAGGAATTTCCAAGCTGTCTCCTCCAAATTCTGCTCTGTCACCCTACAGAGCTCTCAGGAGCAGCAGTGACCTGGGGAATGAAGGGCTGATCCAACAGCACCTGGAAAAATCCCCTTTTCCCTGTTTTTTTCCAGGGACAGGCACCAATTCCCACATTCTTCCCAGCCTTCATTATCCATAAAACTTCAGTTCTGAAGCTGAAAGGTTCAAAAGTTCCTGGGAGAAAGAGACCTTGAAGCAGAGCCAGAAGCTCAAGTATTGCAAACCTTATCTCCAGCCTTATCTCCAAACCTCTCATCTCCAGAGGGGATCACAAGGAGCTGTAAAACCTGGAATAACCCGAGGCTGGTTCCACGCACTGGACTTTGCCTCTTCCCAGATCCCTGGGAATGACCCCACTCGATCAGCAGCGCTGGCACTCAGAGTGTTGTGCTGCCTGATAAGAGAGAGATAAGAAAGGGCCTCTTCTTTGGCTCACAATCCTCACTCAGATCCACCTAAAAAACGAGATAAATCCAGATCTATCGACCCAAGATCTGCTTCGCCTGCAGACAACTGACAAGAGTTCTCCCAGCAAGAAGTTTCCCTGCTCTATCTCCTACTTCACCACGTGGAAAGGAAGAAAATCTGATTTTGGGGACCTGATTTACATCCCTTCCACAGCACTTTAAGCCCCTTCAATCAAGAAATTTGAGATTTCTTGTTCTGCCTCCACAGCCTAGCAGAAATATTTCTCTCCTCTCCTCTGCAGCCACTCTCCACACATTTAAAGCCTTTTGTCTGCTCTCAGGCATTTCCAGATTAAACACTTCTCATTCCTTTACTTTCCTTATAAATCCTGAGCAAATTTCTTCCCAATCACCTTTGCTATTCCTCACCAGCCTGGTGCCTGTCTTTTCCTGGGATCCTGCTCCAGGATTTTGCTTGTTATGGGAATATTCATCAGCAGAAGGAATTTTTCCTTCCAAAACCCAACAAAATAATTGGTGTTATCCCAATTTTGGGACTAACAGTGAGCAGGGCAAGTAAAAGGCACAGGAATTCTGAGAAAGTTTTGTGTGAAAAGCAGATTTTCCTTGATGTCTGCAATTGGAACTCTGGAATTTGCTGCTCTGGGATTCAGCCACCTTTGAATAACTCAGTCTTTGAACAGGGCCAAATGTTTTGGTTTAAGGTTTGCTTGGAGAAGACAGGAGTGGCAAAAAGCCAAATCCAAAGGTTTTTTTTGCTTCCAAAGGGTTCATTCCTCCTCTGTCACTGATGCTGCCAACACAAGCCAGGCTGGAAAGGCAGAGGTTGGAGCAATCCCTGAAAGACAACTCCTCACACAAGGTCTCTTCTTCCAGGAACTGCTTATTGATTTTTCCAGGGATTGTGCAACCTGGTGAATCCCGGTTTGGAGCAACTATCCCAACTGCTGGATTTTGCAGTCCCTTTTATACTTAATAATCTGGGATATGGATGGGCTGGGAGGGAGAAAAGGCTGGTTTTGAAAGCTGAAGTGCACTGAGGGCTCAGGGGGTGCAGCCTCACGCTGACTCACTGGGATTTTACACACCCAACCAGTTCAGGCATCATTTTTTTCCAGTCTGCCCTTCCCAGCTTTCTGACCAGCCCTTTCCCAAGCCCCTCCAGCCTTCCTCCATCAGGGTGAGGATGGTGAGATCCCCAAAAACAACAGGGTGAGATCCCCAAAAACAACGAGGTGAGGATGGTGAGATCCCCAAAAACAACAGGGTGAGATCCCCGAAAACATCAGGGGGAGGATGGTGAGATCCCCAAAAACACTAGCCTCCAATTTGGGAATTCAAGGGGACTCGGTGACTTTGCAGCGAGTGACGATTCCCAAGATCGCACTTCCAGAAGGAAAACATTCCCCGCTGTCCCCAGGGCCAGCCCCTGCTCGTCTCCTCCCCGGGACGGGCTGGGATGAGCTGGGGACACCCCCGTGCTCGGGCAGGTCACCGACACGGCCCACACCGAGGGGACAACCCCAAAACACCCCAAAAACCCCATCCAGCCGGGACACAAGGCGATGATCCAGGTCTGGGCTCATCGATGAGGGGCCCCAAGGCCTGAGGGGGTAAAACCCCTCAGTGCCAGCCGCGGGTACCCCCACACCCCAAATCCCCCACAAACCCCAGCCTGGCACCGCTGCTGCTGCGTCCCCTCACACACCCTGAGGCCTCTCCCCGATCCCATAGCAATGGGCTCCCTGACCCTTTATCCCTCCCCAAATCCTCTTCGCGGCCCCGCACCTGGCCAGCAGCTCCAGGAACACCACGTTGCTGCAGCAGCCGCCGAACACCAGCCCCACCGCCACGGCCGGGT